CCCTTTTTTCATCTGATATTTATGGTTAAAATATTTTTATATATTTGACCCACATTTCAGTAACATTTTAGGTTTGTTTTAATAACACGTGTGTGTGTGCGTCTGTGTGTGTGTGTGTGTGTGTACAAGTGATAATGCTGCAGGATTTCATAATTGTATCTTCTCAGCAGCAGCGCTGCAGGTGCTCTCCATGTCTCCATGTAAGCCAGGTCCTTAGTCAACTTAAAGTTGCGCACATTTTTCTGCCAAGTTTTCTTTCATAAATCCCAAAGTTTGCGTGGAAAGTTGCTTACGCAGTTTTCCAACCCCGTTTTGTGCGTAAGCGAGCTTGCTGAATGAGGCCCCAGGTCAGGTTTGTGTGTAGAAGGCTAGAGAGGAACCCCTGTGGACAACGGATGCTAACTGCTGCTAGCATGCTTGCATTTGCAGGGAGTAATCTCTGGGACTTCATTAAAGGCTGCGGGTTCAAATCCCAGCCCAGATCTGGGGCTGTCTCTGTGATGAACTGGTGAATTTTCCAACCCCTCATTCAAGCAGCACATGAATGCATTTCAAACGACTGAATTGTGAAATTAAACATGCACTAATTTAGTCAGTATTCTACCTGCCGCCTCGAGTCCAAATCCAGGGTTTGATCTGGACTGAAACCAGAGCCGAACTTTCACTAATGAGCAAAGTTCAGCATGTCATGATCATCTGGTTTGCAGCAGAGCTAATGATGACAGTCCTCCTGGGACCTAAACCCCTCCATTATCTCTGTTAACTCCTCCACCCTGACTGAGCCTCTGTCTCTGACGGGTGGAGGTCTCTCCTCTGAAATGGCACCAGGACTATCCAGGCTTCAGCAGAGGAGAAGATGCAGTTGTTGGTAAATAAAGGTGTTGTTCCTCTCTGAGACCTGTGGCCGGGCAGGATTCGTGCCACGTCCCGTGCCACTGCCTCGTCTACAGATTTATGGAGCGCTTCCATAATGCACTTTCTTCCTTCAAAGAAGGAACATCAATCTGCCTGTTTTTGTCACCTCCTTTTTTATTTTCTAATGGGAATCTCAAATCGCCCCCTGGCTTTCTTTATCTCCTCCACACACGCGCAAAAGCGCAGCCTGGCGCGCCACGCAACACGCAGAAAAAGCTCCGTATAAGACGCTATAAATAAAAAGACCTGTCTCAATCCATCCTGGACCTTTACGAGGCGCCGTCAGAGCCTCGCTCCCCAACAGGGCTCCTCAGAAAGGGCCAACAATACATCCAGACCGTCGGCGTGCTTGGAAGCAGAATGGAGCGTTTGTGTGGATATAATAAAAAATGTTCCACCAACAAAGACTCACACCGTGCGGATCTGAATTAAATACACTCTGCTGGTAATGAGCTATCTAAATTCAGAGTTCATTTAGCCTGGAATTACACAAAAGCAGGGCAAAAATAAACTTTGCGGCCTTTTCTGCTTCGCTGCTAGAAGATTCTCCGTCGTGCAGCGACACGGTTGGTTCCGGGGAAATCGTTTGAGCCGCTTCGCGGATCTGCGAACACCATCATTCCTTTGTAAATGACATCACCTCCTCGCCCATTTCTGCATACTTGGTGGCTGTCAACACCCTGGATGCTCTCTATCACTCGCTCACACACAGCTCCGATTACTGATACACACATATCTGAACACACACGCGTGTGACGGTGTGACGGTGATTAAAGTCAACTCCAAGCTCTTCCTGGAATGAGACGGTGGCTAAACGGGAGCGGTGGCGCTTCAAAGTTATCCGGGAAGCAGCTTCACACATTCCGGCATCACGGAGGTGCATGGATGTAATTTTCACTTTAGAAGTGGGGGGGACACTGGGGGGGGGGGGGGGGGGGGTGTCTTTACAGTATGTTCTAATGGGAAACAGACTTCAACACAAATGGTTCTTTTCTGCTTGGTCCTAGAGCTCAACCAGTGTCAATTTAATATAGCATAATATTGTTTTGTATGGTGAAAAGTGCAGGGGTCAAAACTTGACTTTGGAAAAAGTGGAGGGGGGGGGGGGGCATGTCCCCCCTGTCTCCCCCCAAAATTACGTCCATGCGGAGGCGGGTTCCTCTCTGCGCATGACACAAAGTCCTGATTTCAAAAGTAAAAAGCAGAAACAGACTCAGGAGCAACACAATGGCAAATATCACCTGTTTTTTTATGTTTGTTTGTTTTGTTTCACCAGCTGTGCCAGAGAGAGAGGGAGGGCCAGTTTAACGGCGGATATCAGATCCAGTCTGGAGACAATTGACTCTTATTTTTTCCTGATTTAAATGCTTCATGCAGCAGCCCCAGGGAATCAATTAGAACCACAGCGCCGGGTTCTTCCACCTTCACTGGCTCAGCAGTAATTTGTTTACTTCACAGTCGAGCTCTGGATGAAAAAACGACAATGAATCCTTCCTCCAAACGAACTACTGCGCTATCTTCAGCATGCATAAACTTCTTGGTAATTCCTTGAGCACAGCGCGTGATAGTCACCCTGTAGTTGTTTGCGGAAGCACGCGGGGCAGAACTCTGACCCCCCGGCCAGGTCGCCGCCTGCAGAGGGTCTATTAGCACATGTTTTCCTTCTCCTCTCATGGTAAAGGCTGCAGCTGCTTCCAGCCAGCCGGCCGGCAGCGGGGAGGCTGGCTGCTTCGTCAGAAAGGCAGGAAAGATGAACAGCTTATCACAGCCAAAGTCTCCCGGCTGCCAGACCAAACTGACAGGTGTCACCTTGTTATTTCCCAGCGTAAGCGCCCGCCTGGGTCCGCGGGGAGTTGATTAGCACAAACCTGTTGCCACATTCACCGGCTTACCCACGGCACACGCCGCTGTCACTGGAGAACTGAGCAGTCCCACTGCAGCAGGGGAACTGGGAGGCTAAAATTAGAAACAGCCAGTCACACATTAGTGACACCTGAATGTTGTTATCCAGGATCGGGAACCACTTGTTTAGACACGCTGCATTATGGAGTTAATCCTGATCCCAGGTATTTAAATCAGAGATGACTTATTTATTTAGGGTGATCACTCCCACCAGGAATGCTGAGGTCAGATCTGAACACACACAATACTTCACTCTGATCCATGTTCAAGCCTCCAGAGCTGCATCCTTTCATAGTCACAGACACAGCCTGTTGTCCTCAAAGCACACCGATTTAGTTAAATACACCCAAACGTTCATCAGCCATCCAGTCAGCCATGTTCACGATCATTAGGCTAACTGGTGATCAGCCGTTCTGCATATCAGTGATGCCGGGGGATCTTTGGCAAGTTTAAATATTTTCCTGGGCACTTAGCTAAGGGCTAATTGCTGAAAACAATAACGAATCATCCAAGTGAAAGCTTTTCCTTTCAGAATCATTATTCTCCTGTCAGACTAGTCAGCACCGACCTAATTCTGTAATGGCAGGTATGAGGTGCACATGAACCAGCTCTCAAACCCAGAACCACTGCATCTCCACCAAAATATCCCGAGTTCACGCTTTAAAAGACCGTAGAGGCTGACTTACATCAGCAGGTGGCGGCGTTTAGCTGCTAGGTGCTGACAAATGTATGATCATGAGGCAAGCAATACTTACATCAGACACAATCAATATGGACCCAAGTTCAGGCTTGTTTGGGATAAGACCTTATACGGTTGAGTCATAGTTTTTGGTAACATGTTGATGTCATCTTAAAAGACTTCCTTTGCCACCTGGTGGAGCCGTCACGTCAGCGAGACACGAAGAGACGGAGCTGCTCTGGGGGCGTGGGTGTCCAGAACATAGACCGTGGGTCTTTAAGCACCATGAGGATGTGAGGAATGTTGCTGTGTTTTGCCCTCATTCTGCCACCTTAACACCAGGATGAGACACTGGACGTTTCAGAAGAGGGGTGGGTTGTTGTGAAGGTGTGGAAAATAAAAGCCCCATTTAAAATATAAACGTGAACAATAAGGAGCTAAATGAGCTCTGCCTGTAATCTAGAGACCCTACTTAGGTTAGGACACAGTGTCCTCCAGATGCAACTGTCCCTGTCCTGTCCTGTCCTGTCCTGTCCAGTCCTGTCCGGTCCTGTCCTGTCCTGTCCTGTCCTGTCCTGTCCTGTCCTGTCCTGTCCGGTCCGGTCCTGTCCTGTCCTGTCCGGTCCGGTCCGGTCCTGTCCTGTCCTGTCCAGTCCTGTCCGGTCCTGTCCTGTCCTGTCCCGTCTTGTCCTGTCCGGTCCTGTCCTGTCCGGTCCGGTCCTGTCCTGTCCTGTCCTGTCCGGTCCTGTCCGGTCCTGTCCTGTCCTGTCCAGTCCTGTCCTGTCCTGTCCGGTCCAGTCCTGTCCTGTCCAGTCCTGTCCAGTCCTGTCCCGTCCCGTCCTGTCCTGTCCGGTCCTGTCCTGTCCGGTCCGGTCCTGTCCTGTCCGGTCCTGTCCTGTCCGGTCCGGTCCTGTCCTGTCCTGTCCGGTCCTGTCCTGTCCCGTCCCGTCCTGTCCTGTCCGGTCCTGTCCTGTCCGGTCCGGTCCTGTCCTGTCCGGTCCGGTCCTGTCCGGTCCTGTCCGGTCCTGTCCTGTCCTGTCCTGTCCCGTCTTGTCCTGTCCGGTCCTGTGCTGTCCGGTCCTGTCTGGTCCTGTCCTGTCCTGTCCTGTCCGGTCCGGTCTTGTCCTGTCCGGTCCTGTCCAGTCCTGTCTGGTCCTGTCCAGTCCTGTCCGGTCCGGTCCAGTGTCTGCAGCACCCACACTGATGCTTCAGAGTTTCCACAGACAAAGCCTTATGCAGCACATTAGCCTGAACTTGCTTCACACATCATCTGCTCCACTTTCATCCTCCATGACTCCACCTCTCAGTCACCAACAACAAGCCCCGCTGCCGAACCAGAACCAGGATTACCCATCTGGACCCGAACTCTGCTACTGATAAAGAAAACACCCTGAGATGCCATCGCTGCTCAGCCTCGGGGCTTCAGGGACGGATTGGACTCAGCACAACCACTAATGACTTTTCTGCGGGACATGTTCTCAGAGGACAGCTGTCCTTCACCTACCTTTGGTGTGAGCGGAGCTCAACCCCAGAGACACTCCAGCCAGCAACAGCCCGACCACCCTCAGCATCTTCTCCGGAGCAGAGAGGGACCACAGCGAGCTCTTTCCTCCTCTCCTCCTCACCCCTTCCTCTTCTTCTTCTTCTTCTTCAGCGACCGGCTTCCCTCCGAAGTGGGGACACTTCACTGATGTCCGGGACAAGAGGAGGACAAACCGCGTAGAGTAAAACAAGACGCGATGGAGAAAAGGGGGAGGACGCGAGCTACCTCACCCCGACAGAGTCTCACCGCAGCTCTGAGCAGAGACGGGACCGGAGAGAGGCGCAGCCCGGTCCACACCGAGCACAGCTACGTCACGGGGAGCGAGAGGTGGATCCAGGCACCTTCTCCTCCTCCCTCCCTCCCCTCCCCACTCCCCTCCTCCCCCCGCCCAGCATCCCCACCTCCGCAGCGGGTTCCACCTTCAGACAGCATCTATGAACATTTAGGTTGTCTTCACACCTTCAGCTGACCGTGTCCCGCTGATCACGTGGTACAGTCGATCATTGGTTCTCCGTCAATAACCACACCGTTCTTCTAAAGCGATGCACTCTGGGAAATATCATGGTTCTCAGCGCTGGTGCAAGTATTAAAGATGAACTCATCTGAGGAGGTGGCGCGTGAGGTTTTAGGTTAGAGAAGCTTAATAAACATTTAATGTCAGCAAAATGCTTTAGAGAGACTGGCCAGAGGCAAAATCCCTGGATGGCATTTGTAAAAACAGTAAAGAACCTCAGCTGGAAAAGGCTTTTGTTGGTTCATCAAGAAAATCTGATGTTTTTAAACAGCACGGTAGCTAATGACGTTACACCGGGAAGTCCAGAAACAGCAAACATAAACGTGTGTGTGTGTGTGTGTGTGTGTGTGTGTGTGTGTGTGTGTGTGTGTGTGTGTGTGTGTGTGTGTGTGTGTGCGCGTGTGTGTGTGTGTGTGTGTGTGTGTGTGTGTGTGTGTGTGTGTGTGTGTGTGTGAGGACGGCTCCTTTCCGGTTCAGCTAGGCTGGGTCCTTGCTTGAACGCTAAGTTCTATTTCGTCTAGTCTTAGCCCTTAAGCGAGCTGCTATTGGAAGGGTGATCTCAGCATCAGCCAATCATGAAGAGCTTAAATGTACGCCCACCACGTGGGCACCCCTTGTGGGTTATATAAGTGGAACAACCCCACTGTTCGCCTCCGTTTTCTCTTCTTTTCACGCCAAGCTTAAGAGCTACCTTTAAGAGCAATTATACAAGAAAAATCTACTCACCGACCATGTCCAGCGACGCCAGGACCTGCCCGGCCTGCCAGACGGCTCCATCTCCAGCGGCGACCTGCACGCCAATTGTAAGGTCTGTCTCGGGGCTCACCACGCTGGCCTGGCCTTGACCCCCAGGCCTCGTGCCCGTTTTGTACCGCTCTGCCCGTGGCTGAAAAGGTCCGCCGGGTCGAGTACTTCACCCCCACCACCGACGAGGAAATTCCTGTGGCTGGCACGTACTCGCTGGACAAGGCGTTGCAGTTCTTCAACGTCGGCCAGGAGCCGGCTGGCTCCTACCGACTGGACGATGTCATCGACAGCGAGGAGTACGACGAAGCTGGCTGCCATTGACCTTCTTCCCTCCGGTACAACACGGAGGTCGACCACGAGGCTGGCTGCCATAGCCCTTTTTCCCTCCTGTACAACATGGAGGTCGACGAGCCTCGCTCAGCAGGTCCTTCTGCCCCAGTGGCTTCTCGCTGCTCCCTGCCAGCAGTTAGAGCGCTGCTCCAGGAGCTGCCCGCCATCATCTCCGCGGCTGCGGCCAGCAAGGGGCTAGCCGTTCCAGAACCGGCTCCGCCTGAGGCAGATGAATTGGCGGGAATTTTCGGGGCAACACAGACGCGCTGTCCAGACCCCGTCTGGCCACGCTTCCCCGCTGCCATGAGCTGCTGGTCCGCCGCCTTCTCCGAGCCTGCCGGGCTCAAGATGCCAATTTCCACATATGTGCCCATTACCAAGGTCGAGGGCTTCTCCGACCTGGGCTGGCCATCCGTTCCCTCACTGGAGCCGGACTTGGCCTCGCTGTGTGGCGTCAAGAACCACCTCGCTGGACCGCGAGCAGTTCCCGCTTCTAAGCATGACCAGCTGCTGAGGCGGCTCGCCGATCGCGCACACCAGTGCGCCTTCCAGACCGGTGCTGCAGGAAATAACATCGCCTTCACGCCTTTGGCGTTTCCAAAATGGTGGAGGAGCTTGACGCTCCTGTCGAGTCAAAAACCATCATTACTAAAACTGCTGATGCCATCCTCAATCTGTGCGTTGCTGTACTCACTGGTTCTGCTCGCATTGCTGCCTGGCAGACCCTTATCCAGCGGGCCTTGTGGCTCAAGGCCCTGCCCTCCATTCCTGAACACCTGCACAGGGAGATGCTGGAAGGCCCCATCACCTCTGATGTTCTGTTCTGTCTCCGGGACCAACCCCCGCTTGGGGCGGACGCCTTCTCACACCAGCCCGGGCCTTGAACGCTCCTTTATGCGTTTCCACCAGTCCCTCTGATTCCCCGTCTCCTGGACTGAGTTCGGTCGGAGCAGCTCTCGGTAATTCTGGCTCCCAGACGCCTGTCCGCGTCATGGTTTCCGGACCTGCAAGCGCTAGTGTCCGGCTCCCCGTGGAGACTCCCTTGGAGGGCGGACGCCCCTCCCCAGGCGGATGGGATAGTCAAACATCCTCCAGAAATAGGCCATCGGCTGTGGGTCTGGCCGCTGAGCGGTCACGCTTAGGGGTTTCTGGGCTGCCGCATGATGTGGTCACCACGATTCAGAGTGTGCGGGCGCCCTCTACCGTTGCATCTTACGCTGCTAAATGGGCAGCTTTCCAGAACTGGTGCACAGAGCGGAATGTTCAAGCGCTCTCCTGCCAGCTGGCGGATGTCCTATCATTTCTGCAGACGCTGATGGACAGGTCAGCACTATTAAAACATATGCTGCAGCTATCCTATCATCCTGTCACCAGGATTTTGGTGATAGGTCTGTTTTCAGTCATCCCCTCACAAAACATTTTCTAAAAGGTGTCATAAGGAACGGACATGTGTCCCGCCCGCTTTTTCCCCAGTGGGACCTAACGGTGGTTCTGCGCGGCTTATCTGAAGCTCCATTTGAGCCCTTGGACCAGGTCTCACTCAAGTTCCTGTCGCTTACAACTGCATTGCTGCTGGCGCTAGCATCAGTTAAGAGAGTGAGTGACCTAACCGCCCTCTCAGTGGCTCCCGCATGCCTCAGGATCCAGGAAGATGACGGGTCTGCTGTTTTATGCCCCAACCCAGCCTTTGTGCCCAAAAACATTAATACTTCCTTCAAATCCAGGTCAATTTCACTGGCTGGACTTTTTCCTCCTCCCCATAATTCTGAGGAGGAGGCGGCTTCCCATCTTCTCTGCCCGGTGCGTGCGCTTGCACGATATGTGTCACACACTTCAGGGATTCGCCGCTCACAAATCATGTTTGTGCACTACAGGGAGTCTTCCCTTGGGCAAGCGCTGTTGGCCCAGCGCCTTTGACTCTGGCTATGTGACGCCATTTCACTCGCTTACACTTCATCAGGGTGGGATTCCCCTGAGACACTCAGGGCTCACTCAGCCAGAGGGATTTCCTCTTCTATGGCGCCCCACAGTGGTGTGTCGATGGAAGACATTTGTCAGGCTGCTTCATGGGCTTCACCCTGTTCCTTTACTCGTTATTATTTACGAGATGTGTCTTCAGGATCCATCACTCGTTCAGTGCTTGGACCTCAGCAGGCTGAGTGAACGCATTATGGCACCTCATCAGCCCTGCTTGAATGAATTTCATCCTCTTGTGGATGATAATTTTTAGTGGGGGCCCCACTCTTCTCTCTGGCTGCCTCAGCCTTGTAAGCCCTGGGCTGAGGCTGAGCGTCCCTCACTAAAAGGAGACATGTTGGGTGTGTCCATTGGTTGAGCTAACCAGTGTGGCGTAAACCCATCCAGCTGCGCATTATTCCAATAGCAGCTAGCTTAAGGGCTAAGACTAGACGAAATAGAACGTTGGTTACGTATTGTAACCCCAGATTCTATGAGTCTAGTCGCAGCCCTTAAGCCACTTGGCCCCACTGGTTCTGTTAGGACTAAGAGCCATCGGAGGCGAACAGTGGGGTCGTTCCACTTATATACCCACAAGGGGCGCCCACGTGGTGGGCGTACATTTAAGCTCTTCATGATTGGCTGATGCTGAGATCACCCTTCCAATAGCAGCTCGCTTAAGGGCTGCGACTAGACTCATAGAATCTGGGGTTACAATACGTAACCAACGATCGGAAGCCAGCAGCTCTGATTCGAATAGTCTACGGTGGCCTGTAGGTCCTGCCGTGGCAGCAGCTAACACGCAAAGGAAAAATGCTAAAGCTAGCAAAAACCAAGCAGGAATATTTTAGGAGCTACGGCAGCTATACCTCCATCACCGGTGTTTCTTCACAACTGTTTCCAGGTAAAGGTCCTGTTTTGCCTTGGCCCCCAAAATGCCTTGAAACGGCCCTGGGTGTGTGACTGAGTTTTGAAGGTGATCTGATTCAGATTATCTGAATTGTATCAAATGTATAATTATTACAACTTATTGTTTTATAAAATGTGTACTGGAGATAAATCTACCTACATTTTACTTCCAAGCTCTGTTTTCTTGTTTTTATTTAACTATTTTCCTGTCTGTCTCTCATCTTCCTGCATCTCCTCTAAACTCTCCAGAAAAACTGCTGCCTGGATTCTTACTTTTTCACCTCATCAGTTACTTCTGAGCAGATCAAAGGGATCTCCTGACCGCAAAGCGGAGAGCGCGTTTCGATGCTGCGTCAGTGAGGTGACATCACCGCAGCACACGATGAGCGGAGCGCGTCAGGAACGGTTAAAAGACAGAATACCAGAGGATATAAACAGATATGAACGATCATGTGTTGCACCACCTTGAGAATGCAGAAGGCGCCAGAGCAGCAGGCACAACAACGATCAGCGCTCTGCGTCCTCTCCGCTCAACAGAACCCCGCTACGCTGAGTCCATAAATATTGTGATATAGGCAGAAACTGGATCTTTCCCTGAAAGATATCTAGCCCCCATAACTCCATCCCTGCTCCTGGATGAAAAACCGGACATTTTGATCAATGTAGGATTTAAGAAATACCTCGACTGATGCAGAGTTGATGAACTTTTCACGGACAAGAGAGTCTTTAAAATATAAATATATGAAAACACAACATGACATGAGAATAATACTCATAAAACAACGTGTTTTAGCTCTGTTTGTCGGCTACAGAAGCACATTTATAAACAGAAACATGAAGTCGCCACCTTAAAAAAACTGAG